AAAAAAATATTGTTGTCAGTTACTTTAATTAACTGGTTAGAATGTTGTCTCACTATTTTTTTAACATGAGTGATGATCCGGTTGGGGTTAGTTTGGGTTGGTTGATGTGTAAAAGATGCATTTCCACAAATCCTTGAATAAACATTTATGAACACGTCATTGTTCTTACGCATTACGCTGAAAAACCAGTTTATTTACATACCGATTACCTAATGCTGATATGTTGTAACTCAATTTAATAAATTCATACAAGAAACTCAAAAAACTCACTAACAAATGTTTGATGTTCGTACGTGTAATGTTTTATTTTTTTAAGTTTGTCGGTAGTATATTTCTGCATTTTATTCATTCGGATTCATTAAAAGCCTCTGGTAATATACGAGTTATTGTTTTAGCGCAAAACTGTATTTTTTGTAGGTTCCGAGTTCCAAGTATTAATATTAGGGCAACCAGATGTTGAATTATTCATTCATTCCTTTATAAAACACTCTCCCTAGGCTAAGCTAACTACTTAATAATGTCCAGCTTAGCTAATAATTATTTTGTCATTATCAAAGCCGCTAAAGATTTCTGATGTACGTGAGAACAGATTTTGATATGTACCGATCTCAGATACCACCAGGACCCGTTTCGAACAACTTAGCTATCGTCAGATGAACGAGGATTTAAAAATTTCTATCCCTGAGACGACATTTTCACCTTTACTAACTAAGACCATTCAAGATGAATTATTTAAAAAATGTCCCATACCTGATCGAATAGTTCTGTACATACTTCCATAGCACATACAAATGACGGTGAAAGCCGTACAATTGATTACCAGAAGAGTGGACAAGTAAACAAGGTCGAAAGTATTCTTGTATTCCAAGGGAAGGCAAATGCTGGTTCTTGCGTAGCTACTTATCCCTCGAAGGGGGAGACATGCCATAAACGCAGCACAAATCCACCCCATTACCATAATTTTCACGCACGTCCGCTGTTTGAGTCGTTTGTTTAAGTGGGCCGCCCAGGTAATCGTACACCTAAAATCATGCCAAAATATATTTATTTAGAAAGCTTTACTCAAAGATTTATTCATACTCAAAGGAAAAAAGACGTTCGAAAGTACCAAAACTGGATGACAAGACCACAAATAAACTTTATC